ATTTACATCCTTTCTTAAATAAAGAGACTGTACACTGTATAACTGAAGCATAACTGCCATACTTTTGTATTCAATTCTCCTCACTATAAACAGTAACATTCTATTGGCTTTCCTAACTGCTGTACCTACATACTAATGTCTTGCAATTCATGCTGAGGATACTTAGATCCCTCTGCACCTCAGAGCTCTGCAGTCTTTCACAATTTAGATAATATGTTTCTTTTTTAGACTTCCTGACAAAATGGACAATTTTACACAAAAAAACAAAGAACTGCTTATGTTGGAAATCAGAAACAAAAACAGAATTACTGGAAAAGCTCAGCAGGTCTGGAAGTATCTGTGGAAGAAGGGTTCTGAAGCAGAGTCACTGGACCCAAAATGTTACCCCTAATTTATCTCTGCAGATGCTGAAATATCACATATAAAACTCAGACGGAAAAGCACTGAATGACAACCTGTCACTCACAGGACTGCAGAACTGTGCTGCAAGAACAGAGCAAGTTTGCTGACAGTGATGATCGACTTCATCCTAGAGCTTTAAAACAAATGGCTAGTGAATTAATTTTCCATAATTCCCCAGATAGAGGATTGTTCCTTTTTTTTTGGAAAATAGGGAACATTACCTCTTTATTCAAAAAGGGAGAGAGACAGCAGGAAATTACAGGCCAGTTAACTTATCATTTGTGTTGAATGAAGTTGAAAATGTTATAGCAATGCACTTAGAGTTCATAGCAATCAGGCAGTCAACATGGTTTTGTGAAAGGGAAGTTATGTTTAACCAATTTATTGGAGTACTTTGAAGTAGTAAAATGTGCTGTGGATAGAGGGGAACCAGTAGATTTATAGATTTATAGAAGCCAATTGATAAGGTGCTACATCAGAAGCTATTGTGGAAAATAAAAGCTTGTGTCTAGATGGTAGCAAATTGACATGCAAAGGAGATTATTATAGGAATGAGAGGGGAGGCATAAATGTGTCATTTTCCTGCTGCTAAGGTGTACCAGATGGTGTGGAGCAGGGATCAGTGCTGGGACCTCAATTATTGAGAGTGCCTAGAGGTTTAGTTGTCCAGCCTTCATTTCTTCCAGGAGTTCTGAAGGAGTAAAGGTGTTCATGTTTCATTCCTCTACCTTGATGACATGAAGTATGGTAGTTTGAGACAAATCAAAACGCTAAGTAGAATTAGGAAAAAAAACCTTCACGTATCTCAGTGTTCTGAATAGCAAGAAATGAAGAGTGAATTTAAAAGGCTGCGCTGAAATTTTGTTCTGGTTAAACGGAAAGCTTGCAGCAACACCTATAAATAAGGAAATTCAGGAAACTCTTGGGGCTCCTTCTAGAGCTCAGTAGTGAATTAAAATTTTATTTGTTTGATTTCAAATCATGTGCGACAACAGTACAAGCCACTGAAGAATTTTGCGCCAATGTATTTCAACAACATTTAAGTACTTTCAAATTAAATTCATTTGATATGAATGCATTATGTTGAAACATATTCTAGATCACATACAATTCTTCTCAACATATAATATCAGAGAATTCACCCGAAAAAGGTCTCTTTTTTTTTCCACCTTAATTCATCTAACTGTATCAATATAACATTCTCCTCCTTATGAACTTATCTATCTTTGCTTTAAAGTCTTCTGTGCTATTTGTCACAGCCACTTCTTGTGCAAGGATGTTCCGCAATATTAGTACTCTTAAGGTAAAGGAGGTTTCTCCTAATTTCTTAGTTTGTTTATTACTAACTACATTACATTCATGGTCACTAGTTATTCACATCCCTATGGTGGAAATTTCTCTATGCCCTCTTCAACAAACCCCTTCACATTTTGAGATCAGAAAGATAATCATTTAGCATTTATTTCTCTAAACAGGCCTAATCTGTCATCTCAATTCTGATATTGATCCTCATTGAACTTTACTTGCACCTTCCCCAGTATCTACAATGTCCTTTTTGTAACATGGAGACAGACTTTGCACAGTATCCAAATTTGATCAATCTAAGGTTCGCAGCATTTTTAACTGTCACACATTCATCTCTCCAACTAAAACAGAACTCAACACTATCTGTTCTGGACATCTGGCCTAACTCTGGTTTAGCAGAATTGACCAGCCAATAGTTTCTTTGAATTAATTCAATTGATCAACTTCTGTTTCAGGAAGTACCCACGTGCAGCAGAGTAAGAACCTGACCAGCAATTGAGACAGCTTTTGAGTCACGACAAGGGTTGCACATTCTGGCAATGGCACAGTATATCCACTCTGTTACCTTGTGGCACAGTGGTACAGCACTACCTCTGGGCCAGGAGGCCTGGGTTCATGTCCTACCTGTTCCATGGGTGTGTAACAATAACTTTGAACAGTTTGATTAGGAAAATATCTATCCTCTTTGACTGATGTAGCACCCACTTCCTGATAATTGCCCCACACTGTTTTCAATTATGCCAACCTCCTTCATTAGGGTTGGGAAAACACATGCTGGGCTTGCCAGCAATTTTTAAGAATTTGTGAAGAAAAATACTAATCCTATGCAATATCTTCATTTTACCATTCAATCCTAACACCATCTTCTGGTCTGGCAGCATCTATGAAGAAAAAAAATCAGAGTTAACGTTTCGGGTATAGTGACCCTTCCTCAGAACTGCAGGGTCATTGGACCCAAAACCTTAACTCTGATTTTCCTTCACAGATGCTGCCTGACATGCTGAGCTTTTCCAGCAACTTCTGTTTTGTTCTTGATTTACAGCATCCGCAGTTTTTTCGGTTTTTATCCCTCTTATGTTGTTATCACTTGTTTCTATTCCATATGTTTATGAGTCGTGAATTATCAACACCTCCAAAAGAGTCTAAACTACCATCCCTTCTTAAGCTAATTGTCCTATGATAACCACGGGATAGGGCTCTTGCACCACAGTGGTACTGTCTCTACCTCTGAGCCAGGATGCCCAGGTTCAAGTCCTACCTCCTCCAGAGGAGTGTAATAACGTCTCTGAACAGGTTGATTAGAAAATACCCTATGCTAACCATTACAGACCCCAAACTATTACCAGGCTGATTGCTAGATATTTTGTTTAACTCTTTACAATGTAATAGCTCCCCTCCCCATTCCTGCTCAATCCAGTAAAACCATGTATATTTTGTGTGTATTCTTTCCTTCAAAGTTTAGTAATAGTGTTCAATAAAGAGAGCATTGAGCAACAGTTGTATATCTCAGGAATGGGTTAAGAGCAAGCAATGGTTTGAGGAACACAGGAATAATGTTGCAAAAATGAAGCCAGGTCAAATAAGATTAATCCAGTGGGCACTTAAAGAAAAATAACAGAGTGGACTGAATAATACGTATTAGCATTCACTATTGAAAGTTGGCAATATTAAAAAATTGTTACTAAAAATTGTAGCGATGGGAAATAGTATAGTGAAGAAGAGGGAAATAAGGATTTTAATACATTCTCTGCATTAATCACCTTACCTTGTCTGGAAACCAAAAATATATTTTCTAACTACCTAGATAATATGATGCCAAACTGGTTTATATAAACTTCACAAGTTTCACTGTGTGAAGGCAGTTTGTACATTAAGACTTTCATTTATTTCACACCATTTCCAAATTTTATCCATTCATTTCGGATTCCTTCTTCCTGCTTACTGTCAAGCGTCTGCCTTACTGGACAGAAAGTCAGTGAATTTTTTTCCATAATAATAATTTCATAAGTCAGTCACTAAATTGTAAATGCATTTTTATTGTTTAACATGGAAATGCAACTAAGAAATGAAAGGAAATTTAAAAAAAACAAGAGGAATAGATCATTCGGTCACTTGAGCTTGCTCTGCCATTCAACAGAATCATGGTAGATCTTCTGCCTCAACTCCACTTTCCTGCACCCAATATCCCTGGTTTCTGAGAGTTTGACACAAAATATCAATCTCAGTCTCAAATATACTCAAACACAAGCAAACACAACTGTCTGAAGTAAATAATTCAAAAGATTCACAATCATTTAAGAGAAGAAATTTCTCTTTCATTCCTAAATAATTATCCTGAGGCTTTTACCCTATTTTCTAGATTCCCCAGTCAAGCCAAACAACATCTCGTATCTAACTTATGAAGCCTCTTCAGAATTATACATGTTTCAACAAAATCATCTCAAATTCTTCCAAACTCTAGAGAACACAGACCCATTTACTCAGTCTGTCACCAAAGAATAATATTCTCATCCTAAGAAACAATCTAATGAGCTTTCACTGTATCATGGCCAATGCAAGTATATCATTGCTTAGATGCAAAGACCAAAATTGAGCAGCTTTCCAGGTGTGGTTTAAATATTGACCTCTACAATTACACCAAGATTTCCTTATTCTCATATTCCAATCCCCTTGCAGTAAAGACTGTTATGCCATTTGGCTTTCTTATTGCTTGGTGTATGTGCATACTAACTTTGTTTTTTGTTTGCAATAACTAAGTTTGTCTGAGCATTGGCATAACAAGTTTCACACTTTTAAAAAACATCTGCTTTTCGATTTTTATTACCAAAATGAAAATCTTCTTACTTCCCCATTCTTTCTGAATCAATCTTAGCCTGCCCTTCTTGTCTAACCCAATGGATATGGCTTTAAGTTTAAGTTTAAGCTTTTTATTTGGAACTGGAGTACATCACATACAAACTTAAAATGTAATTCAGGAACAAAAGCAGAAGTTGCTGGAAAAGTTCAGCAGGTTTAATATCTAATTATGATCATTTTTCCCCAGAGGTTGTTTTACCATGGATTACAAATTATGTGTTCCTAATCTGTAGCTGGTTCTGTAGCATATTGTTTCAAGGAAAATGACCCAAAACATAATACAAACTTATCTTTCAGATCACCTTTTATACAACTTGAATGGAGGAAAAACAGCAACAAAGCACAGTCTTGATCTGTAAGTAAACACTGATCAATGCAGCTAGAAAAACAATTAAACAGAATACTCCCCATTTGGTAATTTAATTTGTTGTCCTTACCTCTGCTCAAATGGAACATTTTCACTAGGTCACATATATCAAGAGCTGGATTTCCTGTACAACAGATGGAAACACAGTAAGTAGATCTGTATTTTAATTGGGCTATACAAAACTTAGATTCAAATACAAAAACGTATTAGACAGAACACTAACCATCTCTAAATTGCTGCAACTCTGAGAAATATGATGAGGCAAACTGGTGGATGTTTTCTGGCTGATCTTGTACAACTGCTCTGCCTAATGCCTCTAGCAGGGATTTCAAACCTTCGGGCACCATAAGTTTACCGTGTGAAGGCATCTTGGTAAATTTCTGATATACCTGAATGAGAGAGAGAGAGGGAGAGGGAAAAAAAAATGCAAAGTAAGTGAAGTGAACATAGTTTGCAAGATTTACTTCACTGTGCTGAATTCATATTTGAAACTCTTCCCCGACACAAAGCACATTCAATAGTTACATAAGATAATGCAAGCATTGGAAACTAAAAGGTATATTAGAGTAGATCAATTCTTCTATTCTGCCCAAAAAGAGTTTTTGACTAATATTCTATAGGAGTAACAGAACATTTCAATAACGACAATTAATCATGATAAATTTCACAGCAAAAAGTTTGAACTTAGTGTAGAAAAAATTGTAGCAACTTGAATTAATAGAAGCGGACTGTAACCATCATAGTTATTGCTTATGCTGTAGAAACATGTAATTTGATGGGGATTGGGTACTTGCAGGTAAACGTATTTGTACAGTCTCCACCTGAAGTTATCTATCAGAGTTCACCAACACAGACATCAATGCTACATCAAAAGCTCCCAACTTCAACTGATTTTATGATTAAATTGTATAATAAAAAGATTTGACGTTTTGGAAAACATTCCAGTAATACTTAGAGAACTGGAGTCCCTACCATTTCTCAGCCTGTTCGAATGGAAATCAGTGATTAAGCAGAGACCGCAATGTCCTCCCTTCCTGTTCCATGCTACTATTACCTCTGATGGCCACCAAGAATCTGTGCTTGGCCCCTGCCTATTTTTTAAGCTACATGTCTTAGTGACATCACACAAAACAATACCAGGTTTTGAACAGATGCTGGTGTCACCCAGCTCTATTACACCACCAGTTCACTCAATACTACCATTACTGTGAAGTTATCAAACTGCATTTTAACATACAGTAGAGGATAAGCAGAATCCCTACTGTTTTTGGTCCCCTGAAACATTCCATTTCTAGTTACCAACCTCACCCCCTTCCCTAGAAACTATTGATGCTAGATCCAATTAAACATGGTGTCCAACTGGCTGTCCTGGGTGTAGCTTTAAGTTCCGTTCTGGAATTCAATTGAGTACCACTGTTAAAAGGAATGCTACATTCAAGACCAGGGGAAATCACATGTGATTGCACACAAACGGGTGTCATTGGGCAGGGATTTAATTAACTTTTGTGCTCTTCTTTGGTCCAGTGTGCCCATTTCTGGCATGGGCCCAAATATATGTTATCATGGATGCATGTTCATACTTCTACTTAAATGACCCGACTGGTGCATTTTCGATAGAGGGTCACTGGAGGAGGACACCACTAGCAAGGTCAGCATTTGTTAACACCATAAAACCTAGGAGCAGAAATAGGCCATTCAGCCTATCAGGTCTGCCCTACTATTCAATGAGATCATGGCTGATCTGATAATTCACCACTTTCATGCCTTTTCCCCTTACTGATTAAAAATCTGTGTATCTCAACCTGGAATATACTTAACAAGCCAGCCTCTTCAGCTCTTCTGTGGTAAAGAATTTCACGTATTCAGTACCCTTAGAAGAAATTCCTCCTCATTTCTGTCTTAAATGGATGACCCTTTCCCTGAGATTAAAGGGCCCAAAACTATTCACAGCATTCCAGGTGTCATGACTAGTACCTTGTACAGTTTTAGCAACACTTCTATTTTTACAATCCATTCTCTTTATCTCAGTTCCTTTATTCTTCTTGCCAAAGTGCATTACCTTCATTTTCCCACTAAGATTTTGCATACTGGTTAACCTGTGTATTCCTCTGCAGACTCTTTTAATCACCCTCACACTTGCCTTCCCGTCTTTGTCATGCTGTTATTAATTAGCCCAACAGATGGTACCTTATCAAACCCCTTCTGAAAATCTAAATATATAACATCCACTGCTTCTACTTTATCTATTCTGCTCATTAGCTCCTCAAAGCATTCAAATAATTTGGTCAGGCATAATTTCCCCTTCATAAAGCCATGCTGACTCTAATCTTGAGAGTGGTTTCCTAGGCTTTTTCATTTCAAAGTGCAGTTCATAGTTTCATGGTTACTGTTGCTGAGACTAGCTTTAAATTCCAGATTTTATTCTATCAGCTGTCACACAACCAAAATTAAATTGCAACCCAGCTATTGCAGAAAAGTGGAATTGAAAGATCAAAAAGCAAGCAAATGAATCTGAGGAATGCCCAAAGAATAGTTAAGAAGACTATCATGTAATCTTAAGAACACAAGCAATAGAATCCATACAGTGTGGAAACAGGCCATTCAGCCCAAAAAAGTCCATACCAACCCTCCGAAGAGCATCCCACCCAGACTCATACCCTCTACCCTATTCCTGGAACCCTGCATTTCCCATAGCCAATCCACCTAACCTGCACATTTTTGGACAGTGGGAGGAAACCAGAGCACCCAGAGGAAACCTACATAGACACGGGGAGAATGTGCAAACTCCACACAGACAGTCGCCCAAGGCTAGAATTGAACCCAGGTCTTTGACGCTATGAGGCAGCAGTGCTAACCAATGAGCCACTATGCCGCCCCAGAGGTGGTTGGGGAAATGGTACAGTGGACTGAAAGGTCTGAATGGCCTACTCCTACTCACTAGTACTGTGAATTTTTACTGTCCTTACTAATGAAGGAATGCATGTTCAGTGGAGATACATTACAGTAGACTGACTTGTTTGTTTAATGGACTGAAGTGGCTGGCTTGTGAGGATAGATTAAGCAGATTATGCCCATGCTCATTGATGTGCATAAAAGGTGACCTTGGAACAAAAGGTTCTGTATCATGATTGCCCTATTACATTTTCCTAATGTAAATTGTAGCCCATGTCTATTTTGAATTCAGTAGAGTGTTTGACAAAGTTCTGCAAGGTAGACTGGTTAGTAAAGTTAGATCACATGGGATCCAGAGGGAGCTCGCCAATTGGATTGAAGTCAGAAGTCAGAGAGTGGTGGTGGAGGGATGTTTTTTGGACTGGAGGCCTGTGACCAAAGATGAGTGCTGGGTCCACTGCTTATCATCATTTATAGGAGGAATGATTAGTAAGTTTGCAGATGACATCAAAATAGGTGGTGTAGTGGACATTGAAGTAGATTATCTCAGATTACGAGATCAGATGGGCCAATGGCTGAGGAGTGGCAGATGGAGTTTAATTTAGATAAATGTGATGTTTTGCATTTTGGTAAGGCAAACAGGGCAGGACTTATACAGTAAATGGTAGGGCCCCAGGGACTGTTGTCAAACAAAGAGGCCTGGGAGTGCAGGTACATAGTTCCTTGAAAGTGGAGTCGTGTATAGACAAGGTGATGAAGGCGTTTGACATACTCGCCTTCATTGGTCATAACACTGAAAATAGGAACAAAAACAAAATTGCTGGAGAGGCTCAGCAGGTCTGGGAGCATCTGTGAAGGTAAAAACTGTTAACGTTTGGGTCCGGTGACCTTCCTCAGAACGGAAAATAGGAGTTGGGATGCCATGTTCCAGCTGTACAGGACATTGGTTAGGCCACTTTTGGAATACTTCATACAATTCTGAGTTCCCTTTGAAAGGAAGGATGTTCTAAACTTGAGACAGTGCAGAAATGATTTACAGGGATGTTGCCAGGATTGGAGGACTTGAAGTATTTGGAGAGGCTGAATAGGCCGGGGCTTTTTCCCTGGAGCGTCAGAGGCTGAGGGATGACCTTACAGAGGTGTATCTAATCATGAGGGACATAGATAGGGTCAACAGCCAAGGTCTTTTTTCTATGGTGGGGGAGTCCACAACTAGAGGACATAGATTTAATTTGAGAGGGGTAAGATTTAAAAAAGACCTACGGTGTGGCTTTTTCATGCAGAGGATGGTGCGTGTCTGGAATGAGCTGCCAAAGGGAGTGATGGAGGTGTACAATTACAACATTTAAAAGGCACCTGGATGGTTACGTGAATAGAAGTGTTTAGACGGATATGGGCCAAATGCTGGCAAATGGGGCCAGGCCAGATTGGGAGGTCTGGTCGGCAGAGACAAGTTGGACCAAAGGGTCTGTTTCCTTGCTGTATGACTCTATAAAATTGAAAGAGAATATAAAATAGGGCGTACAAGTCTAAAAGGGGCACACAGCAAAAGGACCTGGATATATACATTCACAGATCATTGAAGGTAGCAGAACAGGTGGAGAGAGCAGTTAATTAAGCACACAGTATCCTCAGTTTTGTTAATAGTGCATAGAGTACAAGAGCAAGGAAGTGATGTTGTGCTTGTGTGAGACATCTGTTGAACCTCAACTGCAGTGTTGTGTACAGTTGTGGAACCACATTCTTGAAAAGATATGTATGCATTGTGCTGCAGATGCATTCGTGATTTATGAGAATGACTGCAGTGATGAGGAACTTTGGTAATGAGGATAGGTTGAAGAAGTTAGAACTGTTTGCTTTGGAGAGAATAAGACTAAGAGGAGATCTGATAGAGGTTTACAAATTCATGAGCAGGCTGTATATAGTAGATAGGGAAAATCTGATCCTGCTGTAAAAGGAACAAGATTGAGATGGCATAGAGTTAAAGAGATTTGCAAAATGAACAAATGTGATCTGAGAAAATATTTATCACACAGCAAGCAGTTAGGGTAATGGAATGCCTAGACATGGTGGAGGCAGGTTCATTTGAAGCATTCAAGAGGGCATCGGGTGAATATTTGTATAGAAGTAATGTGCATGGATATGGGAAGAAAGCAGGAATTTGGCACTGGGAAGTGATGGTCATTTGACGAGTTGTGCAGACAAGATGGGCTGAATGGCCTATTACTGCAGAGTAGCACTTCTGTGATTCTGTGATAGTTGATAAAGTATATAAAACTTCAACATAAGAAATTAGTGAAAAATTATGAAAACTGTGCAAGGCATCAGAGAATCTGCCCTGTCCTATTGTAGGTCTTTTGTTGACATGTGACTTTATTAGGGTAGCTGCCATAAATCTGACAGTATAAGACAACAGCAGAAATATTTTTATTCTATGCTTTCTAGACCTTGTAACTTGCAATAATGCTGAGTAAGAACATGACGTTTACTATAGACAACATCACAGAGTAGTGGATTGGAACTATTTGAGACACGAAGTTTCTGATTGATAATGGAGGAGCATGTGCCAAGGATGAGTTGAAAGTCAAGTATGAAAATATGAAGATCCTGATCATATATTTAATATAAATTGGTAAAAGGATCAGATGGAAAATAAGGTAGTATATTTTCATCAGAATGGTGGCAAAAAGCTAGAACTCAGCAAAATGTATGATGGAATAATCCATACTTACCTTGTTGAGTGCAGCTCCAATAACTCAAAAAAGCTAATCACCATCCAGAACAAAGCAGCTGTTTGATTGGCACCACATCCACAAATATTTGCCCCTTCCACCACTGACACTCAATAACATCAGTATGTACTAATTACAAGATGCACTGCATTCACCAAAGTTCCTTAGATAGCACTTTCCAAACATATAACCACTACCATTTAGAAGGACAAGGCTGCAGATATGTGGAAACACCACCACCGCCTGCAAGTTCACTGCCACGCTACAGAGCATCCTGACTTGACAATATAGCACTATTCCTTCATTTGCTGGGTCAAAATCCTGGAATTCCCACCCTAAAGGCATTGTGGATCTACCTACACAAAATGGGCTACAATGGTTCAAGGAGGCTGCTCACCACCACCTCTTCAAAGGTAACTAGGGATGGGCAATAAATGCTGGAAAGGCCAGGAACAAATGTAATCCATGAATGAATTAAAAAATATTCAACCAAATGCTGCTAGCAGCAGTGTTATTTGCTCTAATGCAAAACTCGCTGCCTGTTCTCAGGAGGAAATCCTGCCAAGAGAGCTGCCAGTTAATCAGATGGCCAGCAGCAGAAACTGGGAGCAGTAGCCATAGCTAGGACTAAGCATTTCCACCACTCGGAGGAGCCCAGGTGGTTCCATAGGTCAGGCATTTCAGTGAAGATTCTTGGGGGTTTGGGTTTAAGAGGCAAGAGGAATGGGCAGATGACCTCAGTCGGAATGCCTTCAATACGCCCGGAGGCCTCACATTGGAGGCTCCCTCACAACATTTGCCCAACACCAGCCTACATACCTAAAGCTATTGTGCTTCATGCATGGCACAGGCCTCTCTCAGTCATGCATAAAATAATGAGGAGACACCATCATTTCCATGGTACCCTAAAAGCCACTCATCATGCCAACCTGGAGCTATATTGCTGTTCATTCACTAAGATAATTAGGGATAGGCAACAAATACTGGCCTTGTCAGAGATGCTGATATCCCATGAAAGATTTTTAAAATGCTTTTCAGAGATAGTAATGATGCATTTTTGATCTTCAGAATTCCTTAGATCGTGCAGCAGTTTCTAAGGTTTGTGAGGCAGAAAGTATGCACTTCGTATTGAAGAAAGGATAAGGAAAGAAAATAGGAAATCTATAGGCCCAATTTTGATGAAGGGTCATCAAGCTGAAATGTCAACTCACTACATAACATTTAAGAATTATTTAGATGTGCACTTGTGATGTCAAGGCATATAAGGCTCTTTGATTTGTTCACTCATGGGACATGGGTGTCACTGGCTGGGCCAGCAGTTATTGTCCATTACTAGTTGCCATCTTGAACAGCTGCAGCTGATGATAGTATCAAGTCTATGGGCCAAGTGCTGGAAAATTAGAACAGCTGAGTCCTTGTTTGTGATGACACAGACTCAATGGCTAAAGTGACTTTTCCCGTGCTGTAGACATTGAAAATCTCTATGACAAAGTCAACACAGATTTATGAAAGGGAAATCTTGTTTGACAAAACTGTGAAAGGTGGGTCAGTGAGAAAAGAGAAGGAAGTAACATGAGAAAGGGGAGGTGGCAAAGCAGGACAGGAACAAGGACACAGCAGGAAGATAAAAGAAAGACAGAAGAAAGCAAGAATGAGGAGCAACGGGCAAAACTGATAAAGAAGAAAAGGAAATGAAAGGGAAGAAGGAAAGGATGGGAGGAGAGAAATTACTTGCATTAATACAGGGCACATCCTCATGACTTTCCTAGTCAATTAATTAATAGTCTTTGTAGTGCAATTAACATTATATGAGTGATCATCAACCAATTTGTGAACAAATAACAGAAGAGAACTACCTGCTCTTCCAAGTTGGAATCTTTTGTGCTTACCTGAAAAAGCAGACTGGCCCTCAAATTAACATATCATCCACAAGATAGCAGCTCTGACAATAGAACACTCCCTCACTGCTGCACTGATGTGTCAGCCTACATCTAAGTACTCAGAATAGGAAATATTTAATTTAAAATAATCTGGAAAAAAGACCACAAGGATTTAATATAATACACTTAGCCGGAAGGCTAACTGGAAGTTGGAAACAGAATGCAAAGAAAACTCCTAAATATGTAAGAACATGGTTTTTCCACACATGATGGAAGAATACATGATTTAAAAAAGTGAATACTCAATAACGAAAAGATAACATGCTGCTAAGTTAAATCAGATAAGAAGACTGGAAAAGAAAACTTTTGCTTACTTACTGCAAGTCCTTTCTTAGGAAATGGTCTTCACTCAGAGTCTGAATTTTGGATTTAAATGACAGCATTTGTAAAAGTATGTAAATGGTTAGGATAAAAGACTGTATTGGTCTACTGATTTTCACCATTATCTTATAATATTACAGAATGATGTAGTTGACAGAAAGCATTTAAAATAAAACTGCCACCACAGTGTCAGAAAACTCTTCAGCATCCCATCGTGATTTCTTATATTTAAGTAATTTATCTTGGACAGCAGCCAGCCATAAAATAAAAGCAGTTTTGTAGGAGTATACTGAATTGAGCATACAAGCACAATTCCTCAGTTATAGTCAAAGAATTTTACATTACCTGCCAACAACCAAAAAAGGTCCTTTTAGTTCTCTTCAGAAGGAACCATATCAACTTGTTTCACACTTCCAAGAGCCCTGCAAAATTTTAAAGGTACATTTTGACTTTTTATATTGCAATAATACATGATTTCTCTATTTTTGTTATATTAGGGACATAGGCCTTTTAGCCTTGCCAGCTGGATTAAAAAATAGAGGACATCAATCTAGTGTTTGATGGAAGAAGCAACAGTAACAAGAGGGCATGTTTTTCTGCAGCAAGTAGCTAAGATCTGGAATGCATTGCTTGAAAGGTAATAGTGCATATTCAGTCAACCCCTTAAAAAAGTAATTCAAAACTTACCTGAAGAGTAAAAACTTGCAGGAGTACAGGGAAAATGAGGGCAAGGAGGACTAGATGAGTTGTTCTTGCAGAGAGTTGGGAGGACGTCATGGCCAAACCTCTTCAGTGCTGGAACTATTCTATTAATTGAGCCTACTCCATATTTCAGTAAAATCCTGGCTAATCTTCTACCTGATCTCTATCATCCCACACTATGAGGTTGCAGACTTGCTCACCTCACTGATTGCAGACGTTTCATCACCCTGCTAGGTAACATTGTCAGTGCACCTCTTGTTGTTTATATGCCTCAGTTTGCTGGGATGGTTGGTATCACTTCTGATTTTGTTCTTTAGTAGTTTATATATCAGGTCCAGTTCTGTGTTCAGTTCAGTTCAGAAAACAGGTACTACCACAAAGTTTAAAACATAAACCACCTATCAACAATCCACAGGCGTGGAGAACAGCTGCACAGAACAGCCAAAGAATGATAAGGCTTATGATCAAAGATGCGCACAACCGCCTCCACAAATACAAGCAGGAAATTGCATGCCAAAAGACTTTGTACTCCAACGTAACGGATCAAGAATGGACAACCACACTGGAACAAGCCATCACCATACAACCACAGAGGACCAGAACAAAGAAAAGAATAGCCCTACAAGACAAACTATCCAGACTCTCAACAACACACGGACAACACAGAAATATGGATCAAGACCATCTCAGACCGACCATTAAACAGACACTGAGAAGACCATCCTAGTACACGGACTGAATTTTAACTACAGAAACGCCGAAAAAAACTGACTTCCTGGCGACACTGGATGGAACTCCATCAACAAACACATTGAACTGGACCAGATATACAAACCACTGAAGAACAAAACTAGAAGTAATACCAACCACCCAGCAAACTGAGGCATATAAATAACAAGTGGGACAGAACACCAACGCTTCACTGGAGGCACACTAATGATGTTACCTAGCAGGGTGATAAAACATCTGCAATCAAACCACAACCCGAGCTACAAATCTTCTCAGAAAACATCCCACACTATCCAGAATATCCATTAATTTACTTAGAATGTAAAACTCTCTCAGCCTCTGTCTTGACTGTATTGATGACTAGTACACACAACTATCTGGATTAGAGAATTCTAAAGATTGAGTGTGAAGAAATTGCTCTTCACCGCAGTCCGAAATGGCTGCCTGGTAATTCTGAGACTATTGTCAATTCAGATCAGGCAGTCAGTCCGTCAGTCCGTCAGAACTCAAGACATCATTCGTTGTGAATAGAGCTTATTAACTACTCAGTCTTACAGCTCCTTCCACACAACCTGTTTCCCAATTTATCTAGCCAGTCAATTAATCATTAAACCCAACTGAGAATTTTTAGTGGTTACAAACAGATCAGAAGATAAAGTGATGAAAGATTCCAAACAAAAAGAGTTGAAGAGTTGGAAAGCATTTGGTGTAAGCACTGAGGGGACAAATCATGGACAGCAGCTTTCTCGTACAAATGTATATGCACAGAAAAAGTTACTTGCCGTAAAAGGTTATTGGAGATCCCTGAAGAGGGCTGCCTGGTGGTATCAAAAATTACTTGTAAAAAAAAAATCAATTTTGTCAGGTATTTTTATGATTAAATGTGTTATAATTTCTTTGTTCAAAGAAACGGAATATGCGATGTTGTTTACGTTATTTGGAATATGACAAATGAAACATGTTATGAAGCAGCAGTCGATCACCCCCCCCCCCCGATAACTAAAACTGAAACACCCAGAGAAGCTCACCTCACCTCATAATCTGTTGAAGCAAGTGTGAAAAGTGATATAACCTGCCTCTCACCTCCCAATCCATTATAAAGGGAAAGTTAAATGAAATTAACTCCTGGCAGTCACTCTATAATCAACAAGTAACAATTTATTTATCCAACTCTATCAGTGAGCAAATTAACAAAACTACTAACAAACTGAACAACTCCACTTAACTACTAACTAATACAGAATAAAACAAAACTCTAAGGGTATGCTGTTCCAATAAATACAAGTCCCACTTATATACCAGAATAGTTAAAAAAAAAACTTAATCTGTCAAAATTACAGTCAGGATATGTCTTCCATATTGTTCTGTGCCCTCTCTCACTGATCCTCAGGAACGCCTCTCTCCATCAAATTCTTGTGTCAGGAATATTAGCTAAGAGTGCTACTATACCTTTATTTAGATCATGGTTACTCAGAGCTTAGTCAATTCTGTGAAAGCCGGTGATTTTCTCTTTAGAGCTGATGGGTTATTAACTCTATTAGATGGCAGTTGTTCTGACACTGGTTTTCAAATTCCCTCTTTCTTTTATACCCTTGATGACCTGTCAATTTCTTACAATAGGATTGGTCCTAGGTTGTCAAAACCATCAAATTTAAATTTAGTTGGTTTTTAATCTCTAAGTGCCTAGTTTAAATTAATCGGCTGATATTCAAACTAGTTGCCTAAAGAAACGACTGCCTGGGTTGCTAACCGCTCAGCCCCCAACACAAATGTTTCAATTTCAGGAACTCTCTGTGCACCTGCATATTTTTTGTTAAATCTCCAAGCCTAGAAAAAGCACATCAACTTTTAAAAGGGCCACACACTCTTCCTCCCTGTCATTTTACAAACATCAAATTCTAACGTCCTGCCTTCCAATCCACTAGTACTCTACCCAACTTCGCAACAAGTGTTACTGAATAGTTGTATTAAGTTAAGATACAGAACTTGAAAATACTTAACTTTTTTTGTCAGAGTTATTTGTACGTTCAGATTCTGCAAGTGTATCATCAGTGCCAATTAACCTCGAGGACTAATCTCTAACCATTTTGTTGCAGTGAAATTAATGTTTTCAATCATGAGCTGAGCCTTTCCTGTACCTTTCTATTCTTTTGTAAAACAGCAGCACCCCTCGATTAAAATGCATTTCTGATGGCCTTATACAGTATTGTAAAACTTGGTCAAATTTTCTAAGATACCCTATGCCCTGCATGCTGGGTATTCAAATGCTCTGACAAAGTGGAGCTAATTATAGTTTCTTCCCCAGTCAGGAAGATCACTCATTACTGAAGGAAGAAATAATTGATGTGGACTGTAGCCCCCAACATTTGCAATCCTTAATAAGGATTGCCCACATCAGGACAAATTCCATAGTTAATTTCATTGCTATAACTTTGTTAAAGTTCCTTCCAGCACAAGACTTATTGTGGGCCATGATTTTGTCCTTTTTTTAATGTATCAAATGTATTGCTGGTCTCTTCTATGATTTTAGTGTACTCATCATCCCTCACTCCTGCATTTTTTCATAGGAGTTTTAACCTGTGAGAAGGTGGACGGACAAACAGCCAAAGATATGCAGGTTAAGTATTATGGCCATGCTAATTTGCCCATAGTGTCCAGGAAAGTGCAGGCTAGGTGGATTAGCCATGGGGAATGCAGCGTTACAGGGATAGGGTAAGTCTAGGTAGAGTGTTCTTTGGAGGATTGGTGTGGACTCGGTGGGCTGAATGGTGTACTTCCACACTGTAGGGATTCCATTCTCTATTCTATGCCAATGTAGTTTTAAGCTAATCAGCCTTTCTTCATTTAAACACCTATCTCCTGATGCCAACGGTACCTGCTTAACATTTTGATTAGAGAAGTTCCTCATGTGGGGCAATCTAGAACAAGAGGTTATAGATTTAGGAAAAGGGGTAGAGATTAAATCAGAGATGAGGAGAAACTATTTCTCTCTAAGGGTGGTGAATCTGTATAATTCACTACTGCAGAACGTGGTGGATGCTGGGACATTGAATAAATTTAAGGAGGAGATTAACAGATTTTTAATTAGTAACGGGTTGAAGAGTTATGGGGAGCGAGCAGGAAAGTGGAAACAAAAACAGAAATTGATGGAAAATCTCAGTAGGTCGGACAGCATCTGTGGACAGAAATCAGAGTTAATGTTTCAGGTCCAGAGACCCTTCCTCAGAACAGGAAAGTCATGTTGAGGCCAAGAGGAGCTAAGCCATGATCGTACCAAACATCAGAGCAGGCTTGAGGGGCTGAATCACCTATTCCTGCTCCTAGTTTTTATGTTAAAGCAATAATGCCCAGATTGTATAAATCCACTGACAACCCAAAAATAATTGCCTTGTCATGTTCCATGTCCACTTTCATTTTAGCCGCTTTCATTGATAGCCTTTCTCAACAGTAAAGGTAGTTGAGTTAGCTCAATGTTTGCTAAAGCGATTAACCTCAGTTTTGTTACAGGGAATCATCACACTTTACTGATTTCAGAACATTGTCATTCCCAAATCTGAAACATGTAGAACCTTCAAACTTTTTAACCTTATTTTGGTCCTTATTATTAAAGAATCTAAGTAATATTTTAACAAAACCACTTGACTGTGACTATGCATCCACTGTCCAATACAGCACACCAAAATGAGTCAGAGACTAAAAACGATTCATTATCTGGCTGAGAGATAGTAGGAACTGCAGATGCTGGAGAATCCAAGACAACAAGGTGCAGAGCTAGATGAACACAGCAGGCCAAGCAG